ATGAAAAATCTGTTTGTTTACGAGAAATTGCAATTCAATATCGAATTCATTAAAATTTTCTAGTTCTCAGATTCATCTAAAGCGGTCTGTACATAAATCATATTGTTTATTAGAATAGGTCATTACAAACATGTTGAAGACACTGACTAGAGATGCTATCAGTAGGTCTTTTCCATGCGATAACTTCTACTGTATGCGTCTTTTCAGTTTCAACTAACAAATGAAATGCTCGTTCAGATCGACGACATGTCTGCAATAGAAGTACATTTTCGACAATTGCAGATTATGAAGGTTATTCCGTTGAGCTACGTGATTCATTCATACTTTATGTTACTGGAATCATTCACTCGGGCTGTACTCACAAAAGAGAAACAAACTGGCACGTGTGCTGCTGCGGTTATTGTGCTGGATCTTGAGGGTCTCAATATCACCGACTTCTTGAATCCACTCAGCACACCAGCTAGACTGGCTCGATTGGTCGTTAAAGTTTGGTCAGAGTACTTCAGTGAAACTGTAAGTTTGCAAGTGCATCTTCATGATGCACTCTCTTCGCACGTACTATGGCATTATATTGAAACGTCACAACGAAACTGAGCTAAAATTTCATTCTGTGAATCAATCCGGTATACGACTGTAACGCTGATCTCAATACAACTGCAGATTATCAAAGTCTATATCGTCAATTCACCAGCACTGNTCGCACGTACTATGGCATTATATTGAAACGTCACAACGAAACTGAGCTAAAATTTCATTCTGTGAATCAATCCGGTATACGATTTTAACGCTGACCTCAACACAACTGCAGATTATCAAAGTCTATATCGTGAATTCACCAGCACTACTGAGCGTAATGTGGCAAGTAACCAAGTTGATAATGGATAAGAAAACTCAATCAAGAATCACGTTTCTCGACAAACCGTCCGATCTCCTTGAGCATCTCAGCGCCAAGGTCTTGGTTGATGCTTACTTTAACTGTAATCTACTCTTTTAGAGGTGTGACACTAATCCGGTGCAACGCAACACTTTCAAACGAGCATATATTTTCAGTAAAAGATAGAAAATATTTTGGTGAACTTGTGATGAATCCATTAGCACTATGAAAATTTCTCTCAATTATTGTTAAAAGAGTATAAGTTTTAAGCGAACATTATTCTACGCTTTGAAAGTTAGTTGGTACGATTTGATTCGGTTAATGATTTGATCAATTCTGAAGTAATAATAGTAATTGCATGATAGTACAGTCCGTACCGGAATGTTATGGTGGTGCACGGCGTGATGATAGTGGTTATGCGGATCCACCGGAATCTGCTTGTAAACGAGCGTTACAAGTGACACCGCAGCACTACTACGATGTGAATAAATTGTGGCGAGAGCATGGCTTTGAACGACTCCCATCACGAATCACTACAATCGCGATCAAAGGAAACGAATACGTTGAAGTGATCAGGTAGTCAAAGTAATCATCGCATTGATCTACCGCTCGATATTTCCCCCATTGTACGCTCACGACCATGGAGTTGCTTCTTGTTCACATTCCTCTCGGCTTAATCATCAAATATCTGTTACGTTTCACGATGATCACCCAACAATATATTCATATT